ATGAGGTGCGAATGACAATAAAGAATCTCTGACTCTGACTCTGATCACTGGTGACCAGGAAGCTGAATACAAAGGTATGGTGGACAGAACCACCTGCAACTCAACGTTGGAAAAACTAAAGAGCTTTAGGTGGACTACAGGAAGAAGACCCCCCCCCCCCCCCCAACCCTATCAACATGAAGGGTACTAAGGTGGACACTGCGGACTGCTACAAGTACCTGGGGGTCCACCTAGACAATAAACTGGACTGGACAGCTAACATCAACGCCCTCTACAAGAAAGGGCAGAGTCGCCTTTTTCTTCTTAGATAGTTTTCCTTAGATAGAGAACTTTACTAATTGGCTTTTATTTATGTGAATGTTTCTGTAAAGTGCCCTGAGACAACTTTGTTGTGATTTGGCGCTATATAAATAAACTGAATTGAATTGAATTCTTAGGAGACTCGGGTCCTTTAACGTCTGCAGGACCATGCTGCAGATGTTTTACCACTCACTGGTCTCCAGCATCTTCTTCTACGCTGTGGTGTGCTGGGGCAGCAGGGTGAAGAAACCTGATGCCACCAGACTTGATAAACTCATCAAGAGAGCTGGATCAGTTCTGGGAGTGGACCTGCAGTCTCTGACAGAGGTGTCTGAGCAGAGGATGTTGAGGAAACTGATCCAGATCCTGAACAACACGTCACACCCCCTGCATGACACACTGGACTCTTACCACAGCACCTTCAGTCATAGACTGAGACCACCCAGGTGCTCCACAGAACAACACAGGAAGTCCTTCCTCCCTGTGGCTATAAACTTTTCAACTCCTCCCCTTTCTGCACATAGGACAATAAAATGAATCCTGCACCACAATAAACTCTTTAATGTTTCTGTCTGCACCTGACCTGTTTTAGACTTTAATTGGTGGTATTTTTATATTCTCTGTTTTTTTTTTTTTTGTTTGTTTGTTTGTTTTGCATCCTGTGTGATTCCTTGTATATGTTGCTTTGTACCGAAACTCTGGCACAACAATTTCCTGTGGGATCAATAAAATTCTATCTTATCTTATCTACTATAAATGCTGAGCACCATTAGATCACCACATATATTTTGTACCTTTTTTTAATACTGTTAGCCCTTCAAATATTAATATAACAGTTTTTAAGTGGCTGACACATTTTTTTTAACTCCCAGTGTGAAAAGTTCAGAAATGGGACAATGACATTCCTACTACGGTATATTGGTGAATGTTTAATTAAACTAAAACATTGAATACTTTAAGTTCAAATTATTTTTTTTTCATATGATCCAAATATAATGAAAATTATACAACAAATTGCAAAAAGAACTATAACAAAAATATTGGAAAATTGGAATTACTGAGTTTTTCCAACACTGATTAAAACTAGCTAGAATGAACAGAGGCCAGCTGCAGTTACATGTGATTTTATGTTGGTAATGTTTTGGTAAAAACCTGTTGGTTTGTCATCTGTTTAAAATTGCTGGGATTAGTCATCAAAAACTGATCCTTGGGGATCAGTTCTTTATCAGTTCTTTGATACTGTAAAACATCATTTTATTGAACACATCTGAAGAGCAGAGGCAAAGCTAACATGAACAAACAGCTACATGTTTGTTTTCAGGTTGACTACAGAAACTCTCTCTAGTAATATGAGACACTTTAAATGACGCATTCCAAAAAAATGACGATTTTAACTTGCATAAATAGATTAACACAATATACCCTCAACACCACAGATTAATCACAGAAAGCCTAAAAAAATAAAAGCTCACTGGACAACTAAAACAGAGACTTTTGTAAAAAGTTGTTAAAATAAGCACAGTTCTAGTAAGATTCCATTGGGTTATCAAATATCTGAGGTCAAAAATAACAAAATCGTTTTGATTTAATTCTCAAGTGGGACAAAAATGTATCTACGTAGTTTCAAGCTGTCATTACTTTGTTTATACATATAGGTGAATGTGAGCAGATTAACATATTAATTTAAAGTTACCCGACACAAAAATCTTACTTAACATGTTCTTGTATTCTTTTGCTAAAGGTACAGTATATCATAATGTTTTTACATGTTTGGTCCTCCTCTTATAATGCTTATCTGTGCCAGCATCTAAAAGTGTTTGTATTTAAATGAGAATTTGATTTTTTAGTTTGCAAACTGGATTAACTAACTGAACAGCTGTAACCACTAACAGACAGCAATCACCTCACCACAGACTTGTACTACCATAAAGATGAAGACCTCGTGGTAACGCCGGTGGGTGGAGTCATTCTCAGCCCACGCTACCCCAACTCTTATCCTCGCAACCTGCTGTTGTCATGGAAACTGCTGTCACCACCGGGGAGCCAAATACACATCGAGTTTGATGGACAGTTTGGCCTGGAGGAGCCTGAGAATGGAGTGTGCAGGTAAAAACATGCGATCAAGAAAGATAAAGAAAAACTAATGGGGATGGTTGATGATAGCAGGTAATACGATTACTGCTGATTTTATAGAAAAAGCAAAGAGGATGACATAAAGTGTCTTAAAGATTAAAAGACAAAAGAAGATGGACAGGACCTAAATAGGGGGAGTGGAGAACGAGTGGAGGAAGCACTGATGCATTGCAAGCATGCATAATGAAGAAAAGTCAGATGAAAGACAAAAGTGATTAAAAAGTCTGAAATGTAGAGACAGGAGCGCAGGAGACGAATGATTTACTGTGTACAATTATCAAGTTTAAAGGATAACAACACTTACAGGTGTGGGAAGTATTTGCTAATGCATGCAGGTTAACACACCAACAATGAAGTGTGATTAAAAGGGTGGGAGAAAGATGGGCAGAGCAAGTTTGCTTTCTTGGCAAGAAATGGAAGAAGTTTGTCCTTGAAGGTGGAGGGAGGGAAATAGACTTTTTAATTTGGATACACAACTCAGCTCTTTGTAAGCATGTTGGGGGGAGGGGCAGTCAAAGAAAATAGGAGGAGAAAACATGAAGAAAGTTTGGAAAGGGATGGTTTTGGCTCAGGAATTTATCATGATGTTTATAGATGGGTGGGTGTTTCTGATTATTGACTCAGACAAGTTTCTGACCTGATGTATTAGTCTGTTCATGCACCGTTATCCCAGAATCATTACTGTTTAATACTATGTGTTATATACGTTTCATTTTTAGCTCTATCCAGCTGCAAACTTAGTATCCATTAATTGAATCTTCCAATGTAACTTTAGCAGTTCCCTGACTTTTCCTCTAGATAATACATGCAATTTCCCATTAGTCTCAGATGCATTTACTTTTTCAAATTTAGAGCCAGATAATGCCTATAGGTGTCTCCTTGTAATGTTTGCCTGTAGCAGCAACAGCAAAAAAGAAAAAGAATGAATAATGCATAAAAGCTACTTGTTTTGCTTTGATGCTGCAACGGTAGAGTAAAGCACCCAGAACTCAGTTTGTATCAGATTTCAAGCTGAAACTCAAAATGAGTCAGAGATGTTACTTCAGCAGGAGCAACGAGACAATATTACTTGTTGGCACAGTTCATTAATACCCATAAAGCAAGTATTTCTCATTTTTTTATATTTTGCAAGACTATGTTGACTTGTCTCAGTATAAAAATAGTGTATGCCACCAGGAAATCACAAGTTTTAGCTTGTTTTATCAATTTGATCTTACAAACACTTAAAATCAATACAGATGTTTAAACATCACATTGTACAGAGATGATGGCACATAGGGCAGTTGGTTTTTTTAGAGCTTCAGCCCTCGGTGGTATACATTTACATTACATTGCACTGAACTTCTCAACAGTAGCATATTAAAGGAATTGATATGTGTTACATGCTCTGAAATGCTTTGTTTCTGATGGGCTGTGCCAAATATTTATGGCTTCTTGCCTTGTCAAGGAAAACTTTGACTCATGAGCACAGCCTGATTCAAACAAATCAATAAAATGCTACACAGCAGATACTGTGTGTATTACACTAACCAAACATCATTGTGCAGTCTAACAGAAACATTTAACTTTTATATAAAGTCAAGACAAAATTCAAAGTTTCAATATAGCTGATGAGGGTGTATGAAAAATCATTTGGCTTTAAACTGGTCCTAAAGTTTTGCTAAATTGCTGAAGCTAAACATGAAAAGTAAATACATCCTGTGACTCAGTAGCTTGTAAAATCACTTTTGGCGTCAATAATTTGAAGTTTTTGTCTTCTGTATGACCTCATCAGTGTGATTGTTTGCAGGCACTTGCTTTTGCATAGATTTTGTGGGTGGTTGGGAGAGGGGGCGTCTTTCTGCATCATTTCCGTCACTAATTGTAGAGGTTTCCAGAGTCATTACAATACCTCAATTCATTTCTTAGTCCAAGCTAGATAAGATTAGGATTATTGCCGTGTTGCATGATTCTTTTATGGGGAAAATTTGCAGGGTACTCTATTCATAAAAATTCACACCTATTCTTATTTACATGATTTTGGCACTGAAGACTGCAAAAACAAACAAATTGGTTGATCATTGACTGCACCAATTAAAAAAAAGTGTAACTACTTAATTTAATGTAATACTTAATTTTGTTTACCATGCCTACAGGCTTCCAAGCAGTTTAAATGGCAGTAAGTGTGTGTAAGCAGGTCAAAATGTAATCTGATGTAAAGTTTGTAGTGTAGGAGTTCAGCTAGACGTTGGAAAGCTAAAGCTCATTTTGTTCTGTTTTCTGTGACTCATTAAATCAGTGAGCTGAACCCACTGGCATGGTCGTGAGCAATAGAGGAGCAGTTCAACATCAGCCAAAGGTCTTGACTGATTGACAAGCCAATCTATTTGGCAAACTCATAAAACCACAATAATGGGTTTTTGCTGCACGAGAAAAGAAATTGCTGAACATTACACACAAATAGTAAATAAAAAGTGTGTGGAATCTGGTGTCTATTTGATGCAATGCAGCTGCCTCTATGTATGCAACCCTCATCAACAAACGTACCATGCTATTATAAACAAAAATACTTAAAGAGGAAAATGTCTGACATTGTCCAACAATGTTCAGTCAAGTCATCTGGACGGTTACTTTTTTTGCTGAGATGTTTCGTCCTTCATCCAAAGGACTTCTTCGAGCCACCAACAACAAAAAAAAAAACTGGTTCCCACAAACAGCATACTTCATAGTAGAAAAAAATCATTGTGCTGGTGTTAAGATAGCCTCCGGAGCCCAACCTCTCCCCATCAACTCCTCTGAGACTGCTGGTTGAACTTTGGTGTTTTGAACCACTTTGGCATGACTGTCTCAGAGGAGTTGACGGGGGAGAGGGTGGGCCCTGGAAGCCATCTTAGCACCAGCAAACTGATTTTTTTCTCCCCACTATAGAGTATGCTGTTTGTGGGAATCAGTTTGGTTTGGTGGCTCCTCAGATCGAAGAATTCCTTTGGATGAAGGACGAAACATCTCAGCAAAAAAAAGAAACTGTCCAGTGAACCTGACTGAATATTGTTGGGTTTTATACCTGGATTATTGAGCATGAATTTGGTATATGACATTGTTTTCTATTCAATAATACAGTATATAAAATTTACTGTTTATTCTGCAGGTTTTTCAGTTTGTTGTGTATTCATATGATTTCAATCTGTTGCTCTGTCTCCATTACTCCAGGTACGACTACATTGAGGTGGAGGACCAGTCAGTGACCAACACCATAATCTGGGGTCGCTGGTGTGGGCAGAAGGCACCACAGGGTCTGACCTCCAAAACCAACAAGCTCCGAGTCACCTTTAAGTCTGACGATTACTTTGTGGCAAAGCCAGGGTTCAAGATCTACTACTCACTGGTGGTGAGAGACTTACTCATGTTACAGTTGTTAGTAAAACACTAATTTTCTATTATTTGTTTCATCTTATCAAGTCTTGCATAGCACCACTGTAATCAGGTCCTGAACATTTGTCACTGTTACATAACTGGATGTAGCAATAAAGGGCGGGCTGGAGAGGATGAAGTGTGTTCCTAGTAATTAGAAATATGTTGTCATCTTTCTAGACTCATTTAAATAATATTTTTAGCTACAAAGCCTAAAAACAACAACATAAAAACACTGAAGTTCTCAGCAGGCTTCATTTTATTAGTGTAAACAAAAAAGCAGTATTTTCCATCATTTGTTTCTTCTTTGATTTACTGTACACCATTACAATGTGAATGTATTACTACTGAACTCTAGTAAACAGCAGCTTTAAACTGCAATAGCTAAGAAAAAAACACTAATGCAAGGTTAGGTTTTCCTTATGATTCTTTAGACAAAAAAAAATCTAATTAAATGTTTTAATTACATTTGCAGCTCTTCAGGGGCTCATGTTTGAAAGGAGTGTTTGTGCTGAGAAGTGTGTGCCACATTCAACAAATACACCAGGGTGTATCAAAATGAACGTTGCTTGAAAGTGTGCATAAATATACGCAAACTGAGAATGTGTTGTACACTGTGAGATTGTGCTTACCACCACATTAACCTTTTTAGTCGGCGGTATAGAGCATGGGTGCTCACACTTTTGAGCAAGTGAGCTACTTTTAAAATGATCAAGTCAATGTGATAT